TTATTGTGTAGAACGAAAAATAAAGCTTTTAATTACTGTCTACAAACAAAATTTTAAGAAATTTAAGTAGCAACTTTATTAATTTAAGCAATTTTTTAGCAACTTTTTGACATTCCAGAGAGAAACTTTTCAGCATTTTGCGAGCACAATTAGGACAGACCTGGTATCTGCTCCCTTTCCTATGAAATCAATTTGTATTGCCACTTTACAAAAAGCTTTTTAAGCTTCAGCTACAGTAAAATTAGTTCAGCTTAACGGATTCCTTACGAGCGCCCTCCCTCGATTAAGCGTCCTTCTTCCGATAAGCGCCCCTCCTTTTATCCGAAATTTTAAGTAAGCGCCTGGCAGATGCTTATTCGAGGAAATACAGTTATTGAAATGTATATGAATATGGAGAACCAACTTAACAAATTTTTTTTTTTTGTGCAAAATACGAACAAGTGCAAATTCTTTACCTGTTTATTTATTGGCAAATTAGAAACTGTATTTGCATTAAGGACACGTTTAAGCGAAAGTAGTTTACCACTAAACGTTAACAAAAGTGTTGCCATGTGCTCTTCATTGGAAAAATGTGATGTTTACCCAGCCATGACCAGCGCTATTATAGCAACATTCATTACACTGACTTTTTCCATTGTTAAAAGAACCTCCCCCTCCCCCACAGGAAATATGTTCATTAGCCCCACCACTTCCCCCAGAATAACCTCCACCTCCACCCGGTCCCTTCCTTGGTGTACAAAAACCACCGCCACCTCCAAACCCACCCCAAAACGATCCACCCTCTCCCCCTTGATGATATCCGAAACCTCCTTTCCCCCCACCACAAGATGTTGAATCGTGTCCATTTGTGTGGAAGCCGCCGCCGCCGCCGCCGCCGCCACCTATAATACAATCAAAAAGTGATCAGTGTTTCTCTTAAAAATAGCACCTATAAATTTGAGTTATTGCGATCAAACAACGATTGCAGTGTTTCGCAACGAGGTTTATTTCTTTATTTTTTTGAGGCTTAATTATTGCATGGACATTGTTAATGAAAACCTTGTGAGGACAAGTCAGCTTTAGAGTTAGCTTCGACTCTCTGTTTAGTGTTTCTATTTAATCCAGGTTCAAAATTAGCGAATAAGAAGCCTTTTCAATTTTTTTCGATGTCTTCTCCTTCCATATATTCGCAGATTGCTGTAGAGAATTGGATAAATGTGCAGGAAAGTCAAAAAAGGAAAAAGCCAAATTTGACAGAATTTTAACTGCTTGTATGAGGCGTTTCCAAAGTATTATGAAAGAAAAGCTTCAAAATAATTTTGATAACTATTGATTTAATAAATCATTCAAAATCTAATTAGCAGCGACTTACTGCCTCATTTGGTTGAAGATCCTGAAGGATGGCAGTGGAATGCAACGAAAATCTTAGTATTTGTAAAAAGAAAATTCCCCACCTACCAGAAAACCTACTATTTGTGCGTCCTCCATGTCCGTTGCTTCCCCCCGAACCCAATGGCGAGTTGTCCCCTGCATTCCCTGTG